GGATGAAACCACTCACAGACATATTCCCCCCCATTTTGGACAGAATGGTTCTACCCATGCACATATCACAGGGGCAAAGCCCAAGCCTTGCATTTCTAGGCACTGAAATCTTAACAAAGTCAAGCCAATATTACACCAGCTGTGAGCTCCAGAGCTGCATGAAGTCATGATTTGGCAACTTGAGATATTCACAAAAGTATTGCAACGCAGTCAGTCCTGGGGAAGAAAATCAGGTAAAACAAAATTACTTAAACATAGAAGAACAAGAATTGTTGGGGAGAGTTTTCTTGGGAAAAGGATGTCTTTTAGTACACAATACTTCCTTTGAGTCAAACCTTGCCTCTTCTGATTTATTTAAAGCATATCTTTATGTCTTCAGAAGTGCTTTTAAACCATCATGATTACAGTGTTACATCAGGTCTAGAGACAAATGTGACAGTCACAAGTGCTGTGACAGTCACTTCTGTCACTCAACATCTGATCTGAAGGATGAGGGAACAAAATCTGGCTCTTAGCTCTGCTGATGTCAGGTACCTGAAGTGTCAGTGCACTTCAGTCACAGCACAGGCTCTGAAATTAAAGTGCCTGAGGGCAGGATCCCAAGCACAGGGTGGGGAACAATTCTGATGGGGACTGGTGACTGAGGCCAGCAGTCTCCCTTCCAACTGGCATTGTCTGCAACCTGCTGCGGTGACAGCCTCTGTTTGCTGGCGCGGAGCAAGAAAAGGCTGTGCCAAATCAGAGTGAAAAAAAAAATATTTACCTGGTTTTATATCCCTTTTTGCCTCAGAAGGCTCCCTTCCTCTGCCTCTTCATCTTGGTCTAGTCTGCACCCCAAAGCACTACCAGATTGCTTTTTTTTCTGTGTTTTTAGGTATCCTTTCTTTATTAAAATCCAAAGCTGCTTTGAGTGGTCTTTTTTCTCCATTCTGCATTTTGGTGGAAATGTGGAATTCAAAATGAAAGTGAAAACATTCCTCCTTTCTTACAAGAAGAACTAGAATGTTCTTGGTTTGTATATAGATAAAAAGATTCATGGCTGTCTTTTGAGACACTGCACATCCTTTCTATGTCAGTGTTCTCTGTAATGTTTCATTAATGCTTGTTGCTGCTGCAGCCATGAAGGCAGACATGCAGCTCATCCAGAGGGAAGATAATTTGATTACTTTAATATGTTACTGTTACTACTGTATATAGCCTTTTGTCAGGAATTTCTTGTAACAATTACTTTCATTTACTTAATTTTAATTGAAGATGATTAAAATGTTGTCTTTTTTTTGTCAAAAAACATTATAATTGTAAAATGTATGCTGGCTATTGAGCATTAATTTGCCTGAACTTATCTGAGTTCTTTGACATATTTTAATTTTTAATAGAAAAATTAATGCCTTTAAACCAAAAATTTTTAATTTAAATCTTGAAGGACTAGTTTTGGAACTTCATGCTAAATATTTTTAAGTCCTCCACAGTATTAAGGTGTAAAGTAAAAATCAACAGAGTACTTGCAAAATTAAAAAAATCTATTTCTCAAAGTTTTCAGCTGTTTTTTCTGCAACCCAAACTTTTTTTTTTACTCCTGTCTTAATTTAAGATATTGTTGACTTTTTTGTTAAAGCTGCTTTTGCCTGTGGACTCCACAAGAGGGTAGGAAATCCTTTCTCAATGTTTAGGCTGTGACAGAAAAGATTAAAAGAAAAAAATAGTGAATTTAACTATTCTGACCACAAGCAGGCACTGTAGATATACCTGCAAGTTCCTGAGCTGCAAAGCATTTAAGAGTAAAAATATAACACTTTTTAAAATAAAAATCACTGGCTTTGAAGACAGCTCTGAATGTAGGTGTTCAAGGTGCTGCAAGAGAGAGGCTGAGTGTGGATTTCCCAGCTGGAATGCTCTAAAGCATATTTTGCTGTCCTACATGTTCAATCTGGGATGTTTCAGAAAGGAAAAGGGCCGTGGAGGTGCTCTCAGACTGAGGGGCTTGCCTGGATGTGGAAGCTTGAACTCCCTCCTGAAGCCAGAATTGGAAATATATCCTCCGAGAGCAACATTAGCTCTTGCTAGAATAATTCACAGCAATAGAAGACACAAGAAATCCTAACCCTTCTGGCTGCTTCCCTGAGGAATAAGAACACCATCTGGATTTGGCATAGACCAGAATTCCTGTCAAAACATTTCACTGCATAGGGTGGAAAAATAGATTAATACATAGGCATGTGTTTCAGAAAAAAAACCCCAACACAAACTTACCTTGATATAAAGGAGAGGAAGAAATTGAGATCTGTAGCACTTGCAACTGAATGTAAGTGGTGTACCCTGTTGAACTGAATGTCAGGTACTCCTGACAGCAGCACGTGTGGTCCACAAAAGAATTCCCTTTTATTCTGATTCCCTAGGTTTTGTGCCAAGCAGTGTTTTTTTTTTTAGCACCAAGTTTAGCGCCAGCATCAAGTTTAACAGCAGGTAGAACAGCATGGCATGCCACTAAGTTGCTCAGTAGCCAAATTATACCATCTGTCACATCTGCAAGACCCTTTGGCTGGAAGAACTACTGAAGACCTACTAGTAAGCTGCAAATTGGGTAGGAAGACTGACTAGATACTCATTTAACATCCAAGAGCACACACTGAACACACAGAAGGACATGACACACTGAAGCCTCACGGATAGCTCAAAATTGTTCCCTGAAGATGTGCTGTCTGAGAGAAATGTTGTTCTTATAGGAGAATGTAATGTATTGGGTTGACTCTGAATGATTTATGCTGCATGTTAATGAAGTAATTTAATTATTACTTAAAATATCTCCAGTGGCATTGTGTGTCACCAGCTAGACATCTAATACTCAGAAGAGTTTTCAGAAACACCTGAATGTGTATTTAGAGACTCAGACACCTAACATTAATGCAGCAGGTTCTTGTGTAACTAACAGAAGGGATTTAAACTCTGCAAAATAGTTGAGAACTGTGGCAAATATTGCTGGCAGCAAACTTTGTGAAGACACTTAAAAAAGGATCTATAGTTATCTCTAAGACTAGTGCTCTGTATAATTTTTTGTGATCCATCATTTGACTCATGGTTTCACTGCTGGAAATATGTCAGGGACATATATCATTTGTTAGCTTTCAAGAAAAACCCCTCATGGACCAGTTTTAACTAGATCTAGATTAAACTAGATCTAATTCCAATCAAGTTCCTCTGAAGAAGCCACATTGAGCTTCATGCAGACATAATCTGGCACAGCTGGCAGGGACACCATCTCTGCTGCATAAATGGGATCATGGAGCTGCCCTCTCCCTGCCTTTGTGGACATACTGCAGGCTCTCTGTACTATCCCCAAACACTCTGCATTTCATATGGCTCCGCTCCAAAAGGAGAATCAAGAATTCCTGGTGACATCTCAGATAGTACCCTGGCCACTAAGTCGTCATGTAAAATATATGCAAAAAGTTGCTCTTCTGCTTCACCAGTGTCCAGAGAGCTGGTCCTCAGGAAAGCACTGCAGATTAAGTCTAGAAAAACCTGAAGCAACTGTACAGGCTCTAAAAGTCAGGGCTAGGCTGTGTTACAGGTCCAGCTCTCTAGAGCTGAGTCACTGGCTGCAAGAAACCTGCTGCTCAGTTTTCTTGCTCTCCCTGAGCACTGCTCCTGCTGCCCTCCTGTTTAATCCAGGGGTCTCCCTCGGCATGCATTTAGCAATGGTATGGGACAGTATATTATCCAAATTCTAGGTGCCTAAAGACTTTGTTGCATCCAGCCCTGATCTGTCTGTTCAGCTAATGATACTCGTGCACAGAGAAAGTACTTGTATCAACTTAAAGTCTTTGGGTTTATGTTTCTATTCTGAAAGGTGAGAGCCTTATGCAACACCTCAGATAAGTCTGTGACTTTCCAGCTCCTTGCTGTCTTAAGTGTTTCAGAGTTGGTGTGCAACTGGAATTCTCCAGATCCAAAATAGTATCTGTTACAGATCCACAAAAAAGTTCTCAGCAAAGAAAACAAGCTGCTATCACTGGCATGGCATGCTAGTATAGATGTGATAAGTCAAGAAGTGGATAAACATGGCTAACTTTGTGGTAGTCGCTGTTTGATAAGGGTAGAGTATACATTGTATGCATACCGCAAAAGGTAAATCAGAGGTACAATTCACAATAAAAAGATTGCAATGGCTGCATTCAGTAATGACAACTCAGCCAAACTTATTTTAAGCAGATAACTAACGTGAATGCTAACAATACCTCTTTCTGACTTCAGAGGGAGCTCAGCATGCAAGGACCTCAATCAGATGTTCTAGTTCAGTGTGACAGTGTGGTTGGATGTTAGCAAGTGTATTTTATAACATCTGGAGCCTGACATCTAAGCAAAGACAGGACAAGAACATACCTGAGTATGAGCCATACTCTTGTTCCTGCGTACTCCTTCCCAAGTATGAAGCGCACAAGAAATAAGGGCTGAAAACTTGATTCTATTATTTTCAGGAAAAGGTCAACTTCAAGCCAAAATTACACTCCCATTCTATTTGCTTGGGAATAACAGTAAACTCTATACATCTGTCCCCTTTACAAAGGAGTGACAAAGACCAATATGAGCCTGGATGTATTCAGTTTAGGATTATTAATGGTGAACCCTAAAAAGATTAGCTGCACGCATACAAGATGAAGTGAAATACTGAGTTTATGGGCCACGTGTAAATAATTTCTGAAATTAAAAAAACTCAAATCAATGCATTAAGGGTTTCTAGAAAGACTCATACTTCCAAAACACTATCGAGGCATTAAGAGTAAAAACAAGTGATAAATAAATATCATATAAAATTAGTCTGATTTATTAGAGAAAATTCAACAGAAATGATAGGTTAGAGGTAATAAATGATTTATTAGAGAGAATTTTACAGAACTGACTCATAAAATTCATGTTATACATTTCAGGCTTTTACTGAACCATGAATATCCAGTAAGCCACTGTTTCTTCATTTCTAGAGCTACTGTCACTAATAGAATCTGTTACTGTGACTGATCTTCAGATAAAAGTTTTATTGTACAAAAATGCTGGTTAAATATTTTGCCTTTTAAGAAATGTTTTCTGAAACCATGGATAGAAAAATCCATATATTAATGGATTGCAGAAAGAATTTAAATACCCAAGCCAATTTACAGAATCAAACAGAGATACAGGAACAGAGAAATTTAAGAATGGTCAATTAAGATTACAAAAAAATGAGGAAACCAACATATTAAGAAACCCAGCATAACAATACTCAAAGCCTTATCAGCTTTCCTATCTTTATTCTTAGAAAGCTCATGTTTCTCATCAGTTTTTGAGTGCCTGTGTGCCTGGCTCAACTCCCATGTGTGCCTTTGGAAGACTGTAAAAATTTTAACATAAATTCCTATCATAATGCAAACAGGAGCAAAGAAACCAACTGTAAATAGAAAAGCCCCCCACAGTTTGTTGAACACAATAGGGCACAAGCATTTAACTAGCTTTTCATAGCCCTCAATTTCAGAAGCATAAACTTCCAAGAAAACCACACCAAAAGCAAAAGCAGCAGGCACTGACCAGCAGACTGTTATAATTTGTTTTATGGTTGTGACAGTCATGGTGCTGGTGTAATGCAGAGGATGGCGGATTGCATAAAACCAATCCATGGCAATGGAACAAAGATGGAAAATGGAAGCTAAACAGAGCATCAAGTCAAAACTGTAACGAACTTTGCAGAATATAATTCCAAAAAACCAGCATTTCTCTATAGACCTCACCATGCTGTAGGGCATAATGGCAAAGCCCAGCAGGAAATCTGTGCCAGCCATGGATAAGATGAGGAAACTGGTCAGAGAATGAAGCTGCTTGAAATATGAGATGGAAATTATTATGGTCAAATTCCCTAAGATGGTGAGAATGAAGACTGCAGTTACGAATAGATATAGTGCCTCTCATACTCCTGCTGACCTAAAGCTCTCCGGACAAGATCTGTTTCCAAACTCAGAGCAATCAGTCAAATCCCTCGAGATATTCGGAGAAAGCATAATCAATCCTTTATTAGACTTTTCTTTTAGAGATGCAGTTCCATCAGCAGATTTAATTCTCATGAGTTTCCAAAAGATTCCAAATCCTAACATGAGAATACAAGATAAAATAAGTCAAGACTATGAACTCAATTACTATGTGAAATGCAGTAATTCAGAGGGGAATTTTCTCTCGCCTTAAATAGGGACTAACTACAACCAATTATTCTTCTGAAATGGTACCTGAAATCTAGTAACTGGAAGCCATTATAAAATTAATTGCAAGTAATATTTAAAACAAAGCAGTTGAAAGTAAACTTAGTTACCTCTTAAATCAATAAATTATATGATAATATAAATCTTATTTTGTATCTGGAGCATTTTGTAAAATATTGTTCTTGTATTTTATATAAATCATAGTATTAGTAAATTTAAATTGATAAAAGAAAAACGTGCATGGACAAAGAAACCTCTCAAGTCACTTCAATCTGAAAATATTATGTAACATTTATATGTCTCCTTAATCTTAGAATATTGATATTTTTTTCTACAGGAGAAATGCTATGCAAACTGTCATACTTTAGCTTTCTTGAAGATTTCAGTTAATGAGCTACTCACCTAAATGATCGTCTTAAGAGACACAAATCAGTTGCTAAACCCCCACTTTCCAAGTTATTTATGATGATAAACTCACCTGCTGTGCATTATAAAGTACTAGCAATGAACACATCTCATGGAAATCAGTTGTAAAACTGGTATGATAAGCAATATTCTTTTCTTTCCCTATATATACACTTGTTTTCTATCATTATAATTCCACCAGCAAAAAGGGTGTGGAGGCAGGCTGAGGCTTGTCTCCTGTACTGCACTGCGGTCCAGGTGCAGTAGTTATAAATGAATACACCAGTGAACAGTTTCAAGGGGAAAAAATTCTCTTCCTTTATCTGGGAAGAACCAGATCAATTTCTTCCACCTCTTTTCCTGATAATTTGTTTTGGACTAACAGCAAATTTAGAAATAGGAGCAGAAAGAGATACTTTCTCCACAGCAATTTAACCCACTTAAAAGGAATATGAGGAGCAGCTAAGTCTACTGATCTTTTTTCCAATAGGTATCACCCGGCAATGAGGAAAATACAGAGACTGTGCATCAAAAGATTAAAAACAGATCTTGGCAGTCAGTCTTATAGGCTAATCCTCCCTCCATCTCTTTTAATTGTACCATAAATAAATTCTCAAAGTAGACATTTTTCTGTTCTGTTATTGTCCTGCAAAATTGCAATCTTGGTAACGGGCAGATCCCCTCTGTAACTTGGCTCTGATTCATGAAAGGTGGGAATTTATTTTTCTTTTATGATATTACATTTAATTCCCAGTAGATTTTGAGCTAAACATATGTATGCAATTTAGGGGTTTACATCAACTGGAAATAAACAAAGCCAAGTGCCTGTATTGACAACACCATTATTTTTATTTGTTCTATTAATTATCTACCCTCACATATAGGGGAGCTCTTTTGGTGACTTAGTCATGTGACAAGTCATGTTGTACCTCATCATTTCCATGATGAGCTTAAATATTAATTGAAGAGAACTATTTGGTTACTTATTACTAACTGCTTTTATTACTCTGGGCTTCCTTCGATAAAACAACAATAGACAGCAAAAGACAAACTCAAGCTTTCTCAATGAATTGTGTGATCCTGTTGGTAACTGAGAAAGTCCAAAGGGTATAGGATGCGCTCTGTTTTCAGCAATCCCTCTCTAATTGACAGACACCTTTTAGTCAATATGCTATGAGTACTCGGTGTTGGAGGAAAATTACTTCTCCTATACCTATGGGAAATAAGAAGTCGATACATTTAGGAGTGGGCTGTGGAGTTCTCATTGTCTAAGTTATGCTGTGAATCAGGTCTCTTAAGAAATTAATCTGTTTTACAAACGCTGTTGCATAAACATTTTCAATTACCCATGCAGCTGGTTGGATTTAAGGTGCAGCATGAAGAGGAAAAGAACTTATTAAAAATCCTACAAAGTAGGAAATTTAATGTAGCTGGTTATGCAAGGCCATTTAAAATTATGCAAGACAGTAAATATTAAAGGAATAAAATATCATAGAATCACAGAATCATGGAATGGTTAAAGTTGAAAAGGTACGTTCTGCCCCATCATCCAGATCATTAAAGGTGTTGAAGAGGATTAAACTGAGTATTGACGTTAGGGCACATCACTAGTTGTTGGCCTCCAACTAGACTTTTTGCCAATGACCAGCAGCACCCTAGGGGCCCAGCCAGTTTTCAATCTGCTCCATTCAACCCGTTTTCAATCTACTTCATAGTCTTCTCATCCAGCCCCATACTTCATTACCTTCCTTGTGAAAATCTTATGAGAGACAGTGTTAAAAACCCTACTGAAGTCTAGGTAGACAATAACCACTGCTCTCCTCTTGTCTATCAGGCCAGTCATTTCATCATAGAAGTTTATAAACTTTATAATTTGCTAATGGAAACAGACTAGTCAAAAAGTGCTTACAGGTAGACATAGTCTTTTTCCAAATCAAGTCTTTCAATGCAGTAGCGTGGAAGTAGTAGATAATGAAGATGAGCAGAAAATCTGCAGAAGACTTTTGTAGAACATTGTGTCTTTATGTTTGATTATGTCCAGTATTTTCCCTCTTGTTGAATGGGTATTAATGCATTGTAGAGGACAGAGAGTGCACAGTGTGCATGACATAGATGAGTTAATGATTTAAAGAAAGCCATACACTTTGCAATATTTATAGATTTTGAGAACTCATTTTTTCCATTTGAACACTGCACTAATGTATTTTTTTTATCTAGCAGTTTAAAATACTCCCATTTTAGAGTGATGATTTCTCTGTGAGGTTTCTAGAAGGGACTTTCTTGATGTTCCTCCTCTTTCCCTGTCCTCCTGCATCTGGTACCTGAGAGGCTATGAGATTTGGACACAGATCGCACCACCATGCATGATGCAGTCCACCAAGACATGAGTTACACGGACTAAGGCAGGATACAGGCAGCAGTTCAGGACTCTGAAATTTGCTGTCAGTTTTGTACAAAACATGAGAGGAAGGTGACATTGCAAATGGTACTCACTGGTGGCAAAATGAACAGACAGAAGTTTACTGGTGAATCAGAGACTTTCATCATGCTGGAGTAATTGCTTTGTGCAAGTTTTCAGGGAAGTTAAGACATATGAAATCACCCATGGGGGAATAATTTGTTTTGCAAAAAGTAGCCAGCTGGGAATTGTTTAATAAGATCACTAATTAAATGTGTTGATAAGGAATTGAACAATACTATTTGCGCATCATTTGCATTATGATACTTTGAAATCCCAGTACAGTGTATTCTGTTTCACCAGACCTAACTCATAATCTGATTGGACAGCAGCAAGAAGCATTTTTCTTGTGCTGTCCTTATTTATCCATGTCTTGGGTCCAAATAGAGTCCCTGTGGCCTCATTAACATATCTCATTTGTCCGTCCCCCTTATAGTGAGAAATAGCTTTGTGCTATCTGCGATTAGAGCTAATGAGACAAAGTAACCTGGGACTTCATTACAGTCCCTCTGCTAGAGAAGGTTCTCTGTAAATAGAAAGCAAAGAGGCTCTTTAGGAAAGTGCCACTTTTACGTAATAGGACACAAGAGGAAAAAGTTATTTCTGAAACTTTCTGAGCTGGGCTGTGCACAAATCTGGCTAATATTGTAGGTTATTAAGAATAAGGAGTCCTGTCTTCTAGCTATAGATGAAGGTCACCAGCAATCTGTGTGTGGAAACTCCTTCTCAGTTCTGCAGAGAATAAATATTGGTTACATCTTGGCTAGACTAGCTTGCCAGAGAGTTGTTGATACACTAAAAATTTTTTCTACTATTTCTATTTACACTCAATAGATTGTGGTGATCTTGTGCAGCCACAACATTTGGATGCCTTCTTTACTGGTTTTGGCTGAGATACTGTTAATTTTATTTATAGTAGTTTGTTTGGTGTTATGTTTGGGATTTATGATGAAAAACAGTGTTGATAAACACACATGCAACTCCCATTTTAGCTAAGACTGAGCACTGCTTACACAGTCCTAAGGTCTTCTCTGCGCATAGCCTGGGGGTGCATAAGAGGTTGGGACCCCAGCTGACCAAAGAGATACTCCACACCATATGATGTTATGCTCAGCAATAAAACCTTAGGAGAAGGAGGAACTAGGATGTTGAAAGTTAGAGTGTTTGTCTTCCCAAGTAACCAACCCTGCTTTCCTCAAAATGGCTGAAGATGTGCTTGCAGATAGGAAGTAGTGATGAATTCCTTAATTTGCTTTGCCTATTAAATTGTCTTTATCTAACCCACAATTTTTATGCCTTCAGGAGTGTGGTTCTGGTTTCTATGATTTTCTAATTAGCTTTGCACTAGTGTCTAGGTACGGACTGCAGAGACATGCTCCATTTGAACTACCATCTCTCCCACAAGCAAGTTGGGATCGCATTCACTTTCAAACTTCTCCTACAAGCACAAAAAAATGCCAGAGAGATGCCAGAATAAGTGATAGCATGATCAGTTGTGAACTCTGGTAGAGCTGGAATTCTCTGGAAACACAGTAATGTTTCCAGATTTTCAGGGAGAAAGACAACGGATGAAGGGAAAGAAACGACTTCGTTGACTTCCTGAAGGGAGTATGTCAATATATGCGGAAGTTTTATTTCAGAAGGTAACACTGAGCATGAGAAAGTTACTGCATCAGGCCAGACTCACTGGAGATGAATGAAGAAGAGAATTACCCATTATTTATCAGAAAGATAGATTTTTTTTTTATTTCATCTTACTTTATTTTTGTTCCTTTTTATGTCATTTTGGAGAGTACAAACTTTACAAGATGGCAATGAAACAGTAAGAGAGACAATCTCAGATCCTGATATTTCACGCTGTAGAAACGTATCATCATTCAACTTTTATGCTTCACAGCATAAAGTGTTTCAGTGCTCTACAAATTACAGAAAATAAAGACAAGATACACATATGATGTGCACTTATACAATGAACATAAATGAAGGGCATACTGCTGAATGTAGTTCTTACTTCAGTACAGTCACCAATTTCTCTCCATGGTTGCTTCTCAGATACTAATCCTTTCCTGTCCATTGCCACTACTGGTCCTTCATAATCCAACTGATTTCAACCACAAGATTTCTTCACAATTCTCTATATGCTTTCCTCAAAAGCTGTCACAGCATTGACATCAGACAAAATAACAATATCTCCAAGCTAAAAAAAGTTCCCTGACATGAGAATTGGCAAATATTTTGCATCTAAACATTCATTAGATAAATATAATTTTCTGGTATTCTCAGGTTCAATGCAGCTTTTTTGCAATTGCTTTTCATTTTGTACATCATATTTTTCCTTGTCTTTGATCTCGTTAAACATGCTTTTGATCTCATTAAGCAGCAAAGCCTTTAAGTGACAAACTCATAAGTGACAAGCACTAGTTGAAATGAAAACAGATAGAACAGCACAATCTTTCTCTGTCTCATCTTCTCTCCATTGAGTGTGCTAGTATGGCTGGTTATTGGTCTGTTTAGAACTCTGCACAAATATTGAAGAGGAGGGAAGAAACTTATCAAGCTTTGGGTAATTGCTCAAAGATGTAAAGAAATTCAAAGGAAAAGGTTTTTCTGTTCTTTCTAGAGGACAACAAATAAACACAAATATTGTAATATAAATCACCTTGTTCGAGAAATTAATCTGTTGTATCAGAATAGTTTTTTAATGATTAAGATCAGGTATGTAAAGTATTGTAAGTTTTTTTAAGTTTTGCTCTTCTGCACATTGAAAATAAATAGATCTAATCAAAACATCACATACAAATCCCAATCTGGAATGAAATAAGATGTAAAGCACAATTGCTTATCTGCTTGAATTGGATTTGGTAAATGGGTAAACAAATAGGTATTTCCTTCCTTTTCAGATCTTACATCCAGGAATTCAGCCTCCAGGTAAAAGTTCTAAGCCATGAATGCAACCATTTAAAGCATGTTAATCTAAAAACAAATGAGACCTGGAAGAGTCCTGTTGAAAAATTTTTCCAAACAGAATAATTTTTAGTGCCCTGCGAAACCACATGTAAAAAAATGCATAAACAATTGGGTTAAATGTAGAATTTAAATAGCCAAACCAAACCAGAGCATCAATGAGAATAGGAGGTATCACATAATTCATAAATGGATTGGTAGCTGTAAAGAAGAAGAATGGAGTCCAGCAGATGAGAAACACTCCCATTATTATGCCTAATGTCTTAGCAGCTTTCCCTTCTTTGCAGAATGAAATGTGATTCTTCATTTCAAATTGCACCTTTTTTTTGCTAATTGCATCAATGGATCTTGCCTGCTTCTTGGCTACAGAGTATATTTTCCTATAGATGTACAGCATAACAAATCCAGGGATGTAAAAAGATACTACGGAGGCCACAATACCTGAAGTTTCACCAAAAATGAGAAGGCATCCTCCTGCACAATGGACATGATTATAAATCTTTTCTGCCCCTCTCAAGTTCAGGTCTAGAAAGATCATCCCAAAAGCAAAAGCAGCAGGGACTGTCCAACTTATGAACACCATGACCACAATAACAAAAGTATTTATCTTGGATTTGTATCTTAAAGGATCACACACAGCATAGTAACGGTCAATGGATATGAAGGAAAGGTGGAAAATAGAAGCTGTGCTCAGCATAATGTCCATGCTCGTGTGGATCTTGCAGAAGAGCTCCCCAAAATACCAGCAGTTCTCAACGGAGCGCACCATACTGCAAGGCATGATGAAGAATCCCAGCAGGAAGTCTACTGTAGCCATTGAAAGTATCAGGAAATTAGTAGGCGTATGGAGCTGCTTGAAATGTGATATTGAGACGATAACTGTCAAATTTCCAACCACTGTGGCTAGAATAATGCAAACCATGAAGATATACATGGAAACACGGGTACTGTTTGACCAGCTGCTCCTTATGCAAGAGCCATTTACAGATTCACAGCACGGTTGCATCCTTACTGGTGTCTCAAATCCACACAGGTATGCAGAAAAAGTACTGTTTTTCCTAATGCTGAGGTAAATTTACAATGTTTTTTTCCTCTTCTATATGTGGGGAGAGCTGCAGGGATGGAAAAGAAATGGCAATTTTAAACACCTTCATTTAGTTGAATGTGTAGGAAATTCATATTTCATTATTTATGAAGGATGAACACTGCGCAGCCTGCTGAGACCAAAAAGTTTCCATGAGCCTTGTTTTTTAGGTAAATGGCACTGACTCACCAGATCAAGTTTTCCTGAAAAATTCTTGCAGGCTCTAGCTGTAAATAGGGATGTAAGTAAAAGATCTAAGAGGAGAAAAGAACTTTTCTGCCCTTTTACTGCCAAAAGATAATGGAAGAACCTGACTAATCTGAAGCATTATCTGCTGTATGAGCAAATATCTTTTCTGCTGGGCTGCGTTGTTTTCAGTGCTAGTAGTTTAGCACTGTTATGAGTATTTATTATGTTAATACTGTTTTTAGCCAAAGCAGAAACATGGAAAGAAACATTCTGAACACAGGTTTAGTTTGCATCTGAGGACACATGTATTGCTGTCCTCTTGTGAATGCGGTAGCATGTCCCTTTTGCAACTCTCTTTATGAAATCTTTTAATGAAAGTACTTAAGCACTTGGCAAAAAATATTCATTGTTGAAGAATCTGGTTTCCTTTTAATTAACAGAAAGATAGTGTTATTGTGAAAAATAAAGATCATTAGCATATGCTACTCAGTAGCACTACATTATAGTATAAAATGATTGTTTAAGTCAGAAAAATACTGACATGGACTTCAGCCAGGACTAATTTAACCCATATGCTTTGGGACTTTGCTGCCTCTGGTTATTTTAGATAGAACACAACAAAATACCATAAAAATTTTCCCATATTGAAACAAATGTTATCACAAGCACACCATGCCACTGGAAGCTAAGTGAATATAGATGATAAATGGTAGCTTGCAAATCCCTGACAGCTACCCTGTGTTATAGAGAGGGATTTTTCAAGTAGGGCCAGGCAGTGACACCTGAGTGCCAGGGAAAAGGTGCATCCAAACCTACAGGAAGTGTGAAATCTAAAAATATTTATTTATTTATTTGGTTGATTGCTTATTTATTTATTTATTTATATTGGGGTGTTTAGCTTCCCCTTTTTTCTGCCTACTAATGTTTAACACAATCTCAGCTCTTTTTCACCTCGCTGTAACTATCACTTCGTATACCTTTTCCTTCACTTTTTGTCAGTCTCTTCATGTTTCTTTTCCTGCCTGTCATTCCTTATTTCATCATTTACACCAAGGTGAAGAAAACACAGCCAGATGGATACTTATTGGCACAAATTTTGAATTTTCACAGTAGAAAGAATTAAACACCAGTTTAGCTGTATATACTGGGCATCATTATAAAAGTTTCAAGCCCATTAAGGTTATAAATGTGTTACATAGATTTTGAACTTCATTTGTTCTATATAGTAAATTATTTAAACGAATCTGGTAAAAGAGTCTATGAAGCCAACTAAAAAGAATTAACATGTTATCTCTAGTTTTCTTTAAGATTAAAAATTTTAATATCTTCTCTGTTGTTCTCTGATACAAGAACTATTTAGCCTAAAGAAATATGATCTCTCCTGAAAATTGTTTTTCTTTTAAAATGTAATATTCTCAGGGATATTTTTATTTTTTTTTAAACAATAAGATGAAACTCCAACCAAAGCATTGAGGAAACTGAGATCAAGTGAGTGGCTTTGCATGAAATGGAAAACTGTGTCAAACTGTTCAAATGAGTTGACCTCTGAAGAAGTTTTCAAAAAGAAAGCAGAATGCTTCCCTTCCATATATAATTCAAAGGTTAAAATTTAATAAGGTGGAATTATGAAGAAACATACATTTAAAAGCCTGTTCTCCTACCTTTCTCCCTTTATGCTGGGTAGAATTCTGCTCTTGATGCTCATTTGTTTTCTTCTTGTTGACTGGCATTCCTTCCTTCTAAAGACCATCTCAAAAAGCAGCTGAAAATCTTCACCATCATAACAGTTCTGGGTAACACAAATTTTGAGAGGACAGGCTTTTAATCCACAGCTGGAGCAGCCTCCAGAACCCCCCCTCATTGCTGGAGGGTGTTGGTGTGATGAATAATATTCTTGGCTGTTTGACTCAGGAGCAGCTGTTGATATGAATACTAACTCAAACTGTTTATTTTGTCACCCACTTTGAGAACAAAACCATGGCTGTTACACTCACACTTGTTTAATGGGCCTTATTTATAGGTAAATTGAAATAATTTGAAGTAAGTTTACTTGTTTGATTAAATGTGGTCACATTGTGAGCAGCCTAATATTATCTAAGTAAAGAACAAAAGACACCATGTAGTCCCCTTTCGCTAAGTAATATACATAAGTATAGGTAGGTTACAGCAGTATGTAAGATTTTCCTGAAAAGGCATATTGTGAACAGAGTGACACAGAGTGTATTTACCAGCCTATTTCTGATTACTGTACAAATAGGCTGAATCTAATAGCCTCATCAATTAACAGCTATTTGCAAGATACAGCTACTGAAAAAGTGTTTTAAGTAAACACCTATTATTGGCTGTACCAGACTCACGGACAAGAAGCATTGATTTTTTGCTCCACAAAGGACCATGCAGCCTTTTAAAACAGTGATACTGCTGAGTATCAAAGACTGGTGACCATCAGCTAAAACTCAGTTATGCTGGATGACTCAGGGGCATATGGAATATGGTATCTTAGGATACCACTTCTTGCAAACTACTCTGATGACATGGATTAACTGTGTTATGTTATGTGCTCAAAAATCAAAATTAATGCAAGCAACTCAGTTCTTTTTTTTTTTTTGAACCTGCACTCATAGACAGACTGGCATATTGCACTGCAAGGTTCTCCTTGCTATGGGAAGAGAGTGTTCCAATGAAAAAAAGTGCAGAAAAAATGATGGGGCTGAGTGAGAAACCACTTAGGAGAATTGAGAGAGTATGTCGAGGAGAGGAGCCAGGTCCCATTTCTCAGATTTGAGGGAATGTGAAAAAGACATTTTAGGTACCCAAATACTGGACTCTGAAAGAGGCCTTCACCCTTCTGAAATGCACAGCAGTGTGCTTCCTTGCAGCCAGGTACTTCTCTTTGAGGAGTGAAGGTTTAGGGCTTGGTAATTACTGTCTTGACATATGCATTTTATAGGAAGGTAAAATTGAGGGGAAAAAATCCATGTTGCCTTACTCTGTGCAGAACTTGTCATTATTAAGAAGTCTGGTGGCCAGCTCATTGTGGGAACTTAGTCAAAGGCCATCCATGCATGAACACACTACTCTCCCTCCATGCCCTCTCCTTTGAGTGATGCAGTGGCCAAAACTCAAGGGGACAATCTGAAAAGGCAGCTCTGTTTCAAGTGATTGTTTCAGAGGCATCTCCCTGACAGCAACCAGCAAAACTCTGGGGGTCCCCCTGAGTCGAGGGAGCCTTCTCCTGCCCTGAGCAGGTCTTCCCTGCTGCAGACAGGCAGGCAGCAGCCAGCTATGGAGTGTGGGTTTTGCTCTGCCTCTCCTCAGGGCTGGGCTGGAAGTCTGGTCAAGGAACGTTTCCCTCCAGTTCCTGCCTTGCGATAAAATTCAACTACAACTTGTTGTTCTTTCTCTTACATGTGACATTTCTCCAGGACACAACCTGCTTCTTTTTAAACCTGCTGAGGACTTTGGAAGTGTTGGGAGTTCTCAGGGAGGTGAAATAAAATGAAGAGGAAGAGTCAAAACCTCATGATGCAAAACAACATGTTGCAGGGTTTATCAGACATACTGTCCGTATGAAAATTGTATCTTGTCTGCCAGCACTGTGTGCTTGACACTGGAATTTGCTGGTGGTGGTGAAGTTCAAATAAGAAATCTGAGGGCAGCCAGTTTAAGCACAGGTCCCTTGGACAGGCCATGTTTGCTCTCTTGTTGACTACCAGCATTGCCCATATACTTTGAAATAACTAAGTGACCTGGTGACATTAAAGGACAATTTTGTCCCTGCTATCAATGCTACTGGGCTCTCATCTTGACTTCACCTCTAAAGAAGAAAAGCCTCATCTGTGGAGCTGGCCAGCCTTCCTGCTCCTACCAAAATCCTCTTGGGGCCAAGGGCTGCAAAACACCTACCATGTACTTTGTAAAACATAGCAGGGGGACTGCTCTGGGGCTGGTTGGTGGGCACGACTTCCCTCAGCAAGGATGGGAGTGGCATGGGGTCCAGCAGGTGCTCCTCCAGGCTGGAAGCTGCCTGCAGTTGGAACTGCTGGAGACCACATCATGAAGTCTCTGTATAGACTGTTTTGGGAAATGCCCTTCACTCTTCTACCGAACACAAACCCACAGGCATAGTGTTTGATATTCAGTATCTCAGTACCAGCTTGTACTGCAAGACCCACATGCATTGGAAAGGACTGAACCACAGTTCTAAAGGAACCTGTGAGCATGGGGAAGGTGGTATTTAAGGGTATGTTTGTTGGAATAAAAGTAAAGCAGCAGCTTTTAAGATATCAAGATAATTAAGTAGTTAAGCAAATGTCTGCTAATTTAGAGCAAGAAGGAACACTTTAGCAAGAAGCTTTCATGCTGTTCGGGCAGATGCTTCAAACAGGCATTTTCTTGCGCCTTAGTGCTGATGTGGATCATGAAAATATTCACAGAGTTGTTATTTATAATATCAAAGAGAAATATGTCAAGCTCTATTTTTGTGACACCTCAAAGCACTTAAAAATAGTCAGTGTTTAACAGTCTTTTGAATCTATCACATAGTAAAGAAGCATCAAAACTCAAAGTAAAGACTTTACAAAATTGTTGCTGTGGCTTTCTATTCTGAAAAACTTGTATTTCTGCAATAAATAGTTTTCAGATTTTTGGAAAACCAACAAAAAGAGATGTTGTCATAATGTCTAGACTACCTTGGGCCTTCTACTCTTCTTATTTGTTTGTTTTTAAAACATAAAATAATTAAAATGAAAAACAGTACAGAAGGGAATGAAAACAGCACTTTTGCCAGACATCAA